TCTAACACTTTAAATTATTATTTATTATTTAAATTAATATCTTATTAATTTAAATACGATACCGTGTATAATTATTATTAGGACACGACTACGCACACGGGTTCTAACCCGGGGATCATCGCTATCACTTCGTATCCTAGCGAGAACACGCATTCGATGTGAGTTCATACCTGTACGTTTTCACTATTTTTCCATGTTTTTAAGGGGGGGGGGGGAATACAAGTACAATACAATTAAATTTTGTGTTAACATCCGAATGATTTCTAACGATTTCATACGTTTCAAACTATTTCAATTTGTTTCAAGCTATTCTAATATATATATATATATATATATATATATATATATATATATATATATATAAATGAGATTCAACAGGCTTAGGACTGGTGTTTTTGCCTTAACTTCTGTTCCTTGTTTGGTTGTGGGCTTAGGGAAAATTCACTTGTCCGACTGTCTTTTTAATTTCAATTATACATGGCCTATATATATATATATATATATATATATATATATATATATATATATATATATATATATATGAGTACAGACCTTTAAACCTTTGTAACATGCTGAGCAAAGGAGAATTTTCAGAGATATTCTCATTACAAACAGAACACACTTCTAAACTATAATAGGTATAGTTTATGAAACATCCTTACTGTTCTACTAATTCAAGAAACGATACAAGAACATACTTATAAACTATAATATGTATAGTTTATGGAACACTTATATCATTGTTACTAAATATAGAGATACAATACAAACAAACATATAAACTATAATTGATATAGTTTATGGAACATAAGTACTATTTTACTAAGTTCATTTTTTACTACAGTAACAAACGTATAAACTATGTTAGGTATAGTATATGGAACATATATATAGTTATTCATTACAAAGTGATTTTCAGTTATTCTACACGTAACCGTCAGTATAGCTTTGTGATACACACTTCAAGTACTTACCTAAGTACCAACCAAACCCTGAAATTATAACCAGAGTCTCTTGGAGGGAAAGCGTGAATTTGTGTATAGATTTATACGAGCTGACAATCCCGCACCTTAACTGCTAGCCACAGTTAGTCCGACAGGTCTGGGGTGACAAATGTCATAACTATTCCGACGCCTGAAGAACGTCATGTTAGGCCATCTTAGGTCATAAAGTATGGTTATAATAACTCTCAATTTGGTATTGAACAGTACGATTAGTGTATGAATGATTAAACAACTTCAAGTAGTTTTTATTAAATATTAAAACTACGATACATTATTTTACATTACAGTTGGTGGAATCCAAGTGCTTACATATACATAGTTTTCATACAAAAATACATACAATATACTATTTTCCAGCACAGAGCAACTTACATTTCAGAGAAACATTCATTATCACTAGTTTTATTTATTGATGAAATTATGATATACTATCACTGAGTACAATAATACTTACATATTTTGTTTTATAGTATTAAAACTACTATTTCACTTACAACAAAAAATATAGGATTTTCTGGTAGAACATACTTACATTTTCAATGAACAACATACTGATTTCAAATACAAACATGCTTATGAACCCACAAACTTAAATGTTGATACACTTTCAAAATCACATGTACTTAGGAAACCGGTAGACAGGTACACTTACAGGTTTTTGAGAAGACGGAGCTATGCAGTCACGTTTTTTAGTTTTTGCTACATACTTTTGATGTCATACAAATTATGTTATGAACAGATGTAAAAACAATACTTTATCAATGTAATGGTTGTGTTTGCTTTGATTACTATTATACAATTGTTGTGATACTGTACATGACGTCCTTCGCCCCCGAACGTTTCCGCCGTTCTGGTTTGGGGGTGTGACAATATGTCAACCCAAACATGACCCATTTAAATATATAGGTCACGGGTTGGCGGGTTTGGAACATAAACCCATATATGACCCGCCAACCCATTTATTTATATGGGTTCACAGGTTGGCGGGTTCGTGAGTCAGATTTGGGTTCGTGGGTCAGATTCCATAAATAAAATTGACAATTAAACATGAATAAATTCTTGATGGTTGATGCAAACATATCCGAATTTTAGACACTTAAGTCTTAAACATCCAAATGAAAATTAAAAACATTCATAGAAACATGTTCAAACTAAACATTAATACAAAAATAGATAATTCAAGTGCTAAAGTAATAGCCACAATTCCCATTTTTTTCTCCCAAAAAACAAAGTCAATTTCTCCAACACCATTTCGATACCTGATTTTGATCACAAAGTAATAGATGGGAGAGTGGGACTGTGGGAGACTGGGAGACTGCAAGTCTGGAAGAGGGAGATACACTCATATGCGATTTGATTTTGAGATTATTATTTAGGGCAAATGGGCAAAATGGTTACAAACTTAGCCTTACAGGTTACGACTTACGACCTTAGGTCATCCACCACGAATCAAAATGTCAAAACAGTCAAATGGTCTATGAATCTATGGTATATATTATATAATACTTATTAAATATTAATACTTGATACATAAATATATTTAAAAATAAAATAATTTTTTTATTAAAAATATAAACGGGTTGGCGGGTTAACCCGTTTATTTTTTAGAAACCCATATATGACCCGTTTAAAAAAACGGGTTGGCGGGTTGAAAAACTCAACCCAAACCCATTTATTTCGTGTCGTGTCGCGGGATCGCGTCAAGAATTGCCAGCCCTACTAAAAGTGTGTCGCGCCATGGAGGGATGCGTCGCGTTTAGATCTTCTTCACAAGGTGAAATGACTTAATCCATTAAGTTAAAACCCCAAACTTCCAGATTTGGCCCAAACTTTTTCAGATTTGGTCCTTAATAGTGACTTAATGGATAAAATTTCCTACTTTATCCATTAAGACACTCCAATCAAGCAAGAGCTAAATTTTATGCACTAAAATGACCTAAAAAGGAAACACAACTTGCATGGCTTAGAGGGCATGCACAAAGCACCAACTTTCCATGTCCAAAAAGGTCTACAAAACAATCCTAAGTGCTCAAAAGATGCTGGAGTCATCTCAACTCTAACCAAAAATGCATTTTATTACATAGGGATCTACACTTAAACCTTCCTTATAGGCACACAATAAATCATTTGATCTTCAAGCTTCACTTCAAACCAAGAACAAATGAGCTCACAAATGGAAACCAAGCTAAAAAAACAAGAGGGAGGAAGTTAGGGTTTCTTAAAATCGCTCAAGGGTGATGGACGCTGATAATGATCTAATCCTAAAGGTTAATGGCCTTTAAATACTCTCAAAACCATAAAAGAATCATTCAGCCCATGGTCCAGGCACGATGCACCCAATAAGAAGAGCCTCCTCCCCCCCGCGATTAAATCCAGATATCATATTTTTAGATTTTAGCGAATTGAACGGAATAAAATCAGAATAAATTACATACTTGGTATTACAAATGTTACACAAACTGAAATGAAATTTTGCAATATAGTTAATAAAAAAACAGAGCATGTTTAACTCGTTAAGTGGAAATTAAGTTTTACTCTAGATCATTTGAGTTTTGATTAACAATATTGTCTAGTAAAATTGCCTCCCGATAAATTTTGCTTCTTCCTGATAACAGAGACGGTTCCACTATGGTGCCCATAGTGGCACCGGCAACCCCTTATTTTTTCGGATACAGTGTATAAATTTTCGAATTTTTCGTTTTTTCTACATTTGTGCCACTATGTAAAATGAAAAATGTACCACCGGCAACACCTACTCCGAAATCTTGGGTTCGTCCCTGTCTGATAACGTGTTACAGAAGTTCCCATATCCATAATTATCCATTTACCACATATAAAATATTTTTAATAAAAAATATTACAATGTACAAGCTATTCTTAAAATTTACTCCATTACTTTAAAAAAGATGTCATATAGACTAAAATATTGTCTACTACACATATACGTCTTATATTATAGACGCACCTCGAAGTGAAAATTCGTCGATATTTAGTTTCAAAAAGTCACAACACCAGCCAATAAAAAGCTACCTACCAAAGGGCAAAATCGGTACACGAAAAAGATATGATCCGTAATCCAACGGCCCGTCACGTAGCAAATTCAAGACACCTCCGTGACGATAGCAAACTATATGACCTTTATTTTCGTTTTGCACTAGATGACGCTCTATCGAACCCAATGGAGTAGCGTGTCCAAACAACATCGTGAAGAAGATATTGTCTTTCTTCCTATATAAATTCACCGCCTGCTATCATCCACATCTCTTCATTCAGCCGGACCTTTCGCTGAGGTCCCTTTAAAGAATCTTGTAGGTTCCAAAACGAATTTGTTCTTCTGTTCATCTTAACTCGACTCCTGTGATTCAGGTTTGCTTTTGACCTAATTTTGTTTATGTATGCATGTGTGCTGTATATGCTCAGTGATTTGTTAGGGTTTCGTTTTTCGTGTAGCGTAATTACGTCTTCCTGTTGTTTCTGTGAGGATATCTGTGTGAATTTGCTAATGCCTATGGAATTCCTGTCCCCAATCCGGAGTTTTAGTGTAATAATTATATGGATAAGATAAGAAAATTTTTGGACGGATGGCGGATTTAACCTTTAAGATGAAATTTCTTACCTTTTCTTTGTCTGAATCGTATCCGATGAGTATTTTGTGTGGTGAGGCAAGCCTTAGAAAGGTTTTCCGCTTCAAAATTGAATATATTTTGGGAGCTTTTTACACGGTGATTCTGAACATTTGTGAAACGAGTTAAACTTTAAATTAATTAGTTGTTTGGGAACCTTTTGAAATTTGAACATTTTGATTACTTGTTTTCTTACGTGCTTATGTTTTATCTGAATTTGGCGCTTAATCAGTTGGAAATAGAAAATTTGTAGCTATCTCATGTTACGTGTGGAGTCAGCATATATGGTTAGAAAGTAACAGATGTATATTTTACCAATTGAAGTGTAATCAATATTGAAAATCTATCATACGCAGGTGATTTGATTATAATCATGGCGGGGGCTCTGGTTCAATCTACCAGCTTTCCTTCAACGGTTGCTGGAGATCGTAAGGTCCGTTCGAAGAGATCTGGGAATACAAAAGGAGAAATCAAGATGATGTATAGTGTACAAACTCCTCACATGAGTGTAAGGTCTTTCTCTGGGTTGAGAGGAACCAATGCTTTAGACAACTTGGTAAAAAGGGGTCATGATTTCCATTCAAAGGTTGCAGCTGCCACCTCTGTTCGGAAAGCAAAGCCTTCTCGAATTGTGCCAAAAGCCATGTTTGAGCGCTTCACTGAGAAAGCTATCAAAGTTATTATGCTTGCACAAGAGGAGGCTAGACGACTTGGACACAACTTTGTGGGAACTGAGCAGATCTTATTAGGTCTTATTGGTGAGGGCACTGGCATTGCAGCAAAGGTGTTGAAATCAATGGGGATTAATTTGAAAGATGCTCGTGTGGAGGTAGAGAAGATTATTGGTAGAGGAAGTGGATTTGTTGCTGTAGAAATCCCATTTACACCTCGTGCAAAGCGTGTTTTGGAGCTTTCATTGGAGGAGGCGCGTCAACTTGGTAACCCCCCTTTCCCCCCACTCTCTCCACACACACACACAATGTTCTATGTGAAAAGGGATGTATTTGAATCATAGTTTAATAAAATGTTTCAGGCATAATTATATTGGATCCGAGCACTTGCTTCTTGGTTTGCTTCGTGAGGGTGAAGGAGTAGCAGCTCGTGTTCTTGAGAATTTAGGTGCAGACCCGAATAACATTCGCACACAGGCAAGTTTTAAGTTTTAACATTATCTTCTACACTTGATTTGCTTTTTGTTTTTATTCCAGAATTTAATCTGTAATTGTTTGAATAGGTTATCAGAATGGTTGGTGAGAGTGCAGAAGCTGTGGGTGCTGGAGTCGGTGGTGGGAGCTCCAACAACAAGATGCCGACCCTTGAGGAATATGGCACCAACTTGACAAAACTAGCAGAGGAGGTACATTTTATGCAAGTTATATGAAAACATGAATGGTTCAGTTTTATTTACAATTTCTTTTCTTTAATTATTTAGGGTAAGTTGGATCCTGTTGTGGGAAGACAACCACAAATCGAAAGAGTTACACAAATTTTGGGCAGGCGTACTAAAAACAATCCCTGTCTTATTGGAGAACCCGGTGTTGGGAAAACAGCTATTGCAGAAGGCCTTGCTCAAAGAATTGCAAATGGTGATGTTCCAGAAACAATAGAGGGGAAGAAGGTGGGTGGGAATGAAAATTCATTGTTATTTTGTTTTATTTTTTACTTTTAGAATTCTAGATAAGATTTATGCTACTTTTTTTCAGGTGATAACTCTAGACATGGGTCTTCTTGTGGCTGGAACAAAGTATCGTGGAGAGTTTGAGGAGAGATTAAAGAAGTTAATGGAGGAAATTAAACAAAGTGATGAAATTATTCTATTTATCGATGAAGTTCATACACTAATTGGAGCTGGAGCAGCAGAGGGGGCTATTGATGCTGCTAACATTTTGAAGCCTGCTCTTGCTAGAGGTGAATTGCAGGTAGGTTGCTATTATTTATTACATAAAAACTGGACACAATTAAAATAAAAAAAAATGTCTTTGAGACTTGAGAGGTATATATATGATGAATAAAATTTGGTACAGTGTATTGGTGCAACAACACTTGATGAATACCGGAAGCATATTGAGAAGGACCCTGCACTGGAGAGACGATTCCAGCCAGTAAAGGTACCGGAGCCAACAGTTGATGAAACAATTCAGATCTTAAAGGGTCTTCGTGAGCGATATGAGATCCACCATAAGCTTCGCTACACCGATGAAGCATTAGTTGCTGCTGCACAGTTATCATATCAGTACATAAGGTACACAGATTTAAATCAATACTTATTTTCATATCCTTTTTAACATCATTACTAAGTGTTTTTATTTAAATCATTTTTCCTACAGTGATCGTTTTCTTCCCGATAAAGCAATTGATTTGGTCGATGAAGCCGGGTCTCGTGTTCGTCTACGTCACGCACAAGTAAGTCTTTTTTTTTAAATAATTATTTTTATGCTTGCTGTAGTCTTTTGTGGGTGATTCTAATTGATTATCTTGTGGTGCAGCTCCCAGAGGAAGCCCGAGAGCTTGAGAAAGAGCTTAGACAGATAACCAAAGAAAAGAATGAAGCAGTTCGTGGCCAAGATTTTGAGAAGGTACTGTTGTTGTCTTTCTAAAAAGGGCTAAAATTTAAGAAATAACAATGTTCTTTTGTTTCTTCTTATTACAACATTGTACATGGTACTATTATAAATTTACCCAATTGAAGCAATGTGTAGAATTTTCAAAGTAACATGTTTATTTTATAAGGTTCTAAAATCAAAGTTTTTATGGCACATAAATATCCGTATTTCAGTAATTCTATGAAACGTGCATACATTTAAAACATTTTCAATGATGTAATTAAGTAAATTAGATTGAATAGTTGCTTGCTTCTCAATAAACTGCAAAAGTCATAATATTAATTTGAAATAATTTTGTTTCATCATACTCTTCTAACTATAAACTAAAAAATAATTATACTCGGTTACCCTTTTATCACACAACAAATTTAACATTTAATTTGATGCAAGGTATAACAAAATATTTAGTTAACAAATGCATGTTCAAAAATATAATGAGATAAAATGCAAGGAATAGTAATGTATTTTTTCAATCTTATATCATAGCATTGTTCTATTTTTTCTTATTACATCTTTTTACGTTACAATTATTTCTTATTTCTTCTTTGATCATTGTCCTTGGAAAATTATACCTATTTTAGCAATTGGGCAACCTTTTAAAAAGGTTTAAAAGGTAGCAGGTTGTCTATTGCTATAATTCGATAGACCACGCCTCAATAAAAATAATTTAAAAATACAATGCTATAATAATTTTCTTGGAAAGTACGTTGCTATATAATCTAAGAAAACCTAATCTTGTACTCTACATACAGGCTGGGGAGTTGCGTGATAGAGAAATGGATCTCAAGACACAAATATCAGCACTCGTGGATAAAAACAAAGAGATGAGCAAAGCAGAAACCGAAGCAGGGGAGGAAGGCCCAATTGTAACAGAGGTCGACATTCAGCACATCGTATCTTCCTGGACCGGCATCCCAGTGGACAAAGTCTCAACCGACGAATCCGAACGCCTCCTCAAAATGGAAGAAACCCTTCACAAAAGAATCATCGGTCAAGATGAAGCAGTCGTAGCCATAAGCCGAGCCATCCGCCGAGCCCGTGTCGGTCTAAAAAACCCCAACCGCCCCATCGCCAGTTTCATCTTCTCCGGGCCCACCGGTGTCGGTAAATCCGAACTCGCTAAAGCCTTAGCCGCATACTACTTCGGCTCAGAAGAAGCCATGATTCGTCTCGACATGAGTGAGTTCATGGAGCGCCACACCGTCTCAAAACTCATCGGTTCACCGCCCGGTTACGTTGGCTACACCGAAGGCGGTCAGTTAACCGAAGCAGTTCGCCGCCGCCCCTACACCGTTGTCCTCTTCGATGAAATTGAAAAAGCGCATCCCGATGTCTTCAACATGATGCTTCAGATCCTCGAAGATGGACGTTTGACCGATAGCAAAGGCCGAACAGTTGACTTTAAAAACACGCTTTTGATCATGACTTCAAATGTCGGGAGTAGTGTGATTGAAAAGGGAGGTAGAAGAATCGGGTTCGACCTTGACTATGATGAAAAGGATAGCAGTTACAACAGAATCAAAAGTTTGGTCACCGAGGAGCTAAAACAGTATTTCCGACCCGAGTTTTTGAACAGGTTAGATGAAATGATTGTTTTCAGGCAACTAACGAAGCTCGAAGTCAAGGAAATTGCGGATATAATGTTGAAGGAAGTTTTCGAGAGGCTAAAAGTTAAGGAAATTGAGCTTCAGGTGACCGAAAGGTTTAGAGACAGGGTGGTTGAGGAAGGATATAATCCGAGTTATGGTGCGAGACCCTTAAGGAGAGCTATCATGAGGCTACTGGAAGACAGCATGGCCGAGAAGATGTTGGCACGGGAAATCAAGGAAGGTGATTCGGTGATTGTGGATGTTGATTCCGATGGTAATGTGACGGTTCTTAATGGCGGCACCGGGGCGGCTCCACCACCGGAGGCTTTGCCGGAGGCGATTGGAGTGTAGAGTGTAGACTCTAGACTCCCCGGAGATATGTTGTTTGTTTGTGTATTGTTATATGGTGTGATTAAATATCTCACACGATGAATTTGCATATCCGTTGGTTGGATCAGATGTGATACAGTTTTAGATTATATTCAGAATTTTTATGTTGTTTTAGTAATAAAAAGACGTGTTAAAGGATTTGTATCTTGATTTTGTTTTGGTCCTACAAATGCTTTGTACGATGTATATATATGGTGTAGACCTTGTACAATATATGTCATATATATGCACCTCATCATATCTTTAATATTAGATATCAATAGTTTTTATGTTTATCATATTTTGTAAATTCAGTATAAACTATTATATTATTTAAATAACAGTATCTTAATAACCGGAATATCTACAAAAAGGTTACTTAAATTTCTAAAAAAAAAAAGATTTGTCATTGTTCGGATGGAATATAATAGGTGAGGTCATATTCCCTCTTCAAAAGTCTCAATATTCGGATGGAATATAATAGGTGAGGTCATATTCCCTCTTCAAAAGAGCCATTGAGACTAAAGGATATACCTTGACCATAGGATACCTTGGGTGTGACATGGTACAACAGTGGGTACAAGAATCCTACTACTACCATCTAAGAAATTCACCACGCGGTGAGGGTCTCACAGGAAAAACCCATCGAATCACTCTCTTTCTAAACCCTTTTCTAGAATTTGAAGACTTGAAGATGAAGATCATCTCTAAAATTATGATTGATTGTTCTAATTGATTAATCAAATAATTAGTTATTTGAAATTTTTTAAAAACATAGGTTTCTATAGAAAATAATCTAAAAAAATGTCATAATGCACACATTCCAAATTTAACAATAGAAAGGTAACCGATTTCTATTTTTGATTTCATTGAATAATACTAACTATAAACCCCCTACACACACACTATTGGCGCGAGTCCAGATAAGTTTAGCGAAATCTGTGAAGTTTTGATTGAAATTTGTAAATGTTATGACGTTTCTAAAATGATAATTATGCAAACATAATTTTTTATAACATTTTTAAGAGACATATTACATCAACGTTGGAAATGTAAAATACATAACCTTCCTACATAATTGAAACTTGAAGAAAGAATTTACCAAAAAAACATTACGAAATGGGAAAATTACAAAAACGGACTCGGGCTTTTTGATTTTTACTATTTTAAATCCAGAAATCTATAAAATGACAATTTTACCCGTAAAAACTGAAACTAGAAGAAAGAATTTATCAACACACCAACAGAACAAAACAAAATGAAATGACATAACTAGTTTTGTACAACAGTCAAACCTACCAAAATAAAAAAAATCTTACACATTGACTGTTTTTGAAAAAAAAATTACAGGGACCTTTTCTATAAATTAAAAAAATTATAGGGACTAAATCTGCCAAAATATAAAACCTTTGTTGCAAGAACTAAATTTGCCAAAAATATAAAACATTTGTTGCAGGGACTAAATATGCCAAAAATGTAAAAGTTTTGTGGCAAAACTCTGAAAAAAGAAAACTCTACGGTTCCTAAGGGTTATGTGATTTAATAGTGAATTTTATGTTTACATGTTTTAGTGTTTCTTTGGTTTTTTTTCTCGTTTGTTAGTTCTATTTTGTGTGTATATAATGCTTCAAGGAGAGTAGATGACCAAAAGTGCCAACTCTACAAACTAATGTGACAAAAACTTTAGGGGTCACATTTGGTAAAATAATAGGGCCAAAAGTGACAAACTCTTGAAATCTTCGTCGCTAAATTCTGAATTACGAAAAGTTAGTGTGTGAACAATGATTTAAGGAATTTGTGGCTAAATTCTAAGCATCCAAAAAATTACTGCTCCTAAGAGCTAGGATAATGTACCTTTTCTATAAATTAAATAATTGTAGGGACTAAATCTGTAAAAATGTAAAACCTTTGTTACATGAAGTAAATTATAAGGACTAAATTTGCCAAAAATGTAAAACCTTTTTTTTCAAAGGCTAAATATGCCAAAATGTAAAACCTTTGCTTCAGGGACAAAGTCTACCCAATTTAGTAAAAAACAAGGACCATAAGTCAGAATTTTGAAAACTTTGGTGGCAAAAGTCTTTAAGTAGTAAAAAAACACTATTCCTTATATATATATATATATATATATATATATATATATATATATATATATTAGGTAAACACATGCGCAAAGCGGCAGCGACAATTATTACTATTTCGGTGAACGGTATTTTTATTCAAAAAATGTTATTTGACTGGTTCAATGGCTATAAATTTTTTAGCTTATATGTTAGAAAATTTTCATGCCCAATCTTTAGGCAAATATCATGCCCACGTTAAAAAAGGAAAAAAATAATAATTGATGTTTACTTTCTTAAATATTTTCGTTGATTATTTTCTATCATAATTAGTTTTTGTTCATAAAAAGATAAGTGGTTTGTGCATAACAAATTTGTACATTAAGTTATCAAACATGTACCTCTTAAATTTGAAGAAAAGTTAAATATGCTTATATATATATATATATATATATATATATATATATATATATATATATATATATATATATATATATATAGGGTTAAGTTCATATGAGACCACGTTATTTTGTGAGACATGGGGACCTATTTATGTCCCTTGATCAAAAATAATCTAAGGCTGAGATCACAACATACAATCTGATAAGAGGCGGTGACAATTTTGAAAATTTATCAAAGTTTAGGATTAATTCGATGACACGGAGGGGTAAAATAGGAATTGTGTACTCCAATGGATGATATCTAATCAATTCACGTTCAGAAGTTTTTTCATCGTTCTCGCCCAAATTTTCTCAATCCAAAATTTCTCTCAATCTTATTCCCAGCATCTTCCCGGAAAAAAAAAAAATTCATTTATCTACTTATCAAAATGTGTAATTAGATGGAATAATCTTGAAAAATCAGTCGATAAAACCCTAGCTTCTTGTTCGATTGGAAGGTATCAAAAACCCTAGAAATTGCAATAATCAAAAAGATTTCAAGCTTCGGTACACCAATTTGAAGGTTTTTTTTTCTAATCGATCATCAATCGTGGCTCGTTCTGCTAAAATTGATTCTAATTCTAGCTCTGGTTTGTGTGATGATTCGTCAGAAGTAGTTGATTCTCAATCAAAGGCTTCAGATCTAAGTTTTCATAAAAAAAAACTTCAACTGCTACTTCTTCTCATGATTCTTAGTTGAGGAAGGATTCTTCTCATCAGGTAATAAAAGATTCCATTGACTCATCTTTGGCTGTTAACAATTTCAATGTTAATAAATCTACAATCCAAGCTATGTTATTTATGCACAAATGAAGTTATTCACAAAGTCTGTAGAGATATTCTTGGAATTTGAATTATAATTTGTTAGTTTGTTTGGTTTATCTTATTAGTTTCATACTTCTAGTGTCAGTTAGGTGTTTGGTAAATTTAGTGATCGCCCGCTAGGTGTTCGACATAATGCACTCTGTAATGATTTCATATTTTATGCAAGAAAATTGTGAATGAAAATGATAGAATGTTGTAGATGCAAACATAACTTGCTTCCTAAATTGATTTTAGATGTTATTTTGTTTGAGTAATTGGATTATCTAGTAAATATTTAGTGAACTATTTTTTGATGATTTGATATTCTAAGTATTCTAGTTTGATAAGTAATATGGTACTTCTTAATTTGAATAAGATGTTACTTTGTTTGATAAGTAAGATGATCCAGTAAAAATATTAGTAAAATAGTCTTTGGTAACTTAATATTCTAGGTATTCTGATTTGTAAAGTTAGGTGTTACTTCATAAATTTGATTTAAGATGTTATTTTATTGATTAACCAAATGTTACTGCTTACTTTGATAAGTCAAAACTAAAATACATTTTGAGAATTTGTTATTCTATCCTGACATAATTGAATTCATCTCTTTATGTTTTAGTTCGATAATATTTGATTCAGATTTAGATTCTACATAATGTAGATTCTAAATCATCTATTGTAATAGGCTTTAGGAAGTTGTTAAACAATTTATTCTAATTTAGGAATTATTTTTTTGAAATTTATATTGTAGCTATGGTTAGTGTTTAATCCAGATTCACTATAGCTTGGGCTAGAAATGAACTTCTTTATTGTAGTTTCGGTTAAACATTTTTGAAATTATTTACTGTAGCTAGGATTAGTGTTTGATACACATTGAAAGCTAATGAAATTTATTCTGATGTGTTCTTAATGCGACAGATGAAAATTTATTCTGGAACAGTAAGTGGAAATGTGAAATATTGACTTGGGTAAAGAAGGTTTTCTGCAGAATAAGAAGCATACAAAATAGTTATGCTTTGACCAATCAGATTCCAATTCCATAAGAAAGTAACCGACGAAGCAAAGGAATAGGGAAAGGTTGATAAGATTGGTCATTAAAAAAAATGAGAGAATGGATCGATGCAAGAAACATACTGGAAGGACGTGAATAATTTTTTTGGAATATTTGAAAGTCTTTGATTATGAATGACATGGTAGTGTTTTGTTCGTTTGAATATTGGTTATCTTTTTTTTTAGTTTTGAACAATAGGTATGGTTGTTTCAATGGCCAGTGAATGTTTCACAGAACAATAGTCATGGTTAAAAAATAGTTATGCTTTGACCAATCTAAAATATCATGCTTTTATGATCAAATGTTCATTTTTTTGTTATAGTTCATGTACAATATTCTAATAGAGTAATGTTATAGGTTTTCTGTACATTTATAATATTCTATTAGAATAATGTTAAATGTTGTTTTTTTATAGATTTATATGTAATGACATTTTTACAATAATATTTTAGAATTTATAGATATATGTGATGTTAATAAAACTTACTTACTGTGTATATGAGAAATATTCTAATAAAATAATTTTATAGGTTGTATGTTCATGTATAATTCTATTTGAATAATGTTCTATGTTTTAGAATATTAGAATATTACATATATTATATTTTTATGAACACTGAAATATTAGAATATTTCACTAGAGAAAAGTGGTCTCATGGTCTTACGGTCTCAAAAAAATTGACATTTAGAACATTCTATTAGAATAGTGTTAAATTTTGTTGGTTTTTATAGATTTATATGTAGTGACCTTTTAAAAAAAATGGAATTTATAGATATATGTATTGTTAATAAGATTTATTTACTATGTATATGTTGAATATTGTATGTCCATGTATAGTAATTCTTTTGGAATAATGTTATATGTTTTAGA